CCCAGTTGGCTCTTTTCAGTTTCCATCTTTTCTTCCTTGGCAGGCTTTTGATTTTCTAGAATGATCAGGTAATGATCACTGCCACGTGTAAGCTATGTGTTTTTCCATGTATAATCCATACAAATTTCTGGATCGCATATACTTAAGTCTATTGACGATTCTGTTCCATTGGAGGGATTAAGGTAAGTTGAGGATTTATGATTTAATAGACATAAGTTATGGGTGTTAATTATTTCTTCTAATATTTTACCTTTAGTATCTAGCTTTTTGCTATTCCATATAGGATTATGACTGTTAAAGTCTCCTAGTAAGATTCTAGGTTTAGGAAGTTGCTCCATCAAGTTGTTTATTTCTGTTGTATTTATTGGTTCCTGTGGGGGTATATAAATGGAAAGAATTGTGATGGTTTTATCTAGTGTCACTTGTGTTGCTATTGCTTGTAATTTAGTTTTAATGTGTACTTTACTTTGCGGTATGTCATTTCTAATCAATATTGACACTCCTCCATTAGCTTTATGTCCTGTATTGTGGTTATAGTGATATTGTTTATAATTTTTAAGTTGGCATTTTCTTGTAAAAAAGTTTCCGTAAGCAGATGACGGCTGGATACAGTAGTGACATAAGTATGAGTAGGTCATTGTAATTAGATTTTATTCCACGACAGTTCCATTGCAGGATCTTATGTGCCATGGTTATATTTTCATTTTTTGGGGGTAAAGTTACCTACTAGGTTTATATCATTTGTCCTCTCCAGTTTTTTTTCCATCTCTTGAGTTTTTAGAAGCTTTGTCTTCAACTGCTTGTGGTGTCCTTCGGTCAGATTTTTGGTTTTGTTTTGAATTTTGTTTATTTTCTTTCTCTTCTATTTCCATATATTCCATAGACTCAAATTTATTTTCATTTGATATATTGATTCTTGATTTTGAGTTAGATCTTGATCGAATGCTTTCTTGCTCTTTTTTGTCTTTTTGTTTATTTTTCATTTTCTTAGTTTGGGTTTGGGAAGAAGAGGGTTCGCTGGAGTTTTGTTCTGTGTTTTCTTACCAAAGTTTTTTGCCTTCTTCTGGGTTTATTCCATTTGATCTGGGTTGTTGAGTTTTATTTTGATCCGATTTAAGTTCGATTAAAAAGGTTTTTAATTCTTCAAGGAAAGCTTTTAATTCTTTGCATAAATTTGTTATTTCAATTGAACCTTTTATTTTATCTTCATTGTTTATTTTATTTGCTTTTTGTGCCATGGAAGCATAGGTGTTTTCTTTTATGTTATTTTTAACTTCCTTTCGTGCTTCTATGAAAGATATATTTTTTTTGTATTTTATTCTAATTATTTCTTTCTCCTGTTTATATATACTGCATTGTTTTGAGAGGGCAGAGTGGTTTCCCAAACAGTTTGAGCATAGGCTCTCATTTGGGTAGTTCTCTTCTTTACGTTCTGATTCTTTCTCACTACATTTTCCACATATTTTTTTTATTTCTACAAGAATCTCTGTTATGCCCAAATTTGTGGCATCTATAGCATTGAAGAGGGTTTGGTACGTATTGTTCTACTTTTATACTTTCATATCCAATTTTAATTGTTGTCGAATTTGCGGGAGTTGAAAGTTATAATGTAGGTATTAGTTTGTATCTCTGCTTCATTTTTTTCTTTATTGTTATTCTTTTTGACATTTGTAACTCCTTGAGTTTGGAGTTCTATTTTATCTCCTTTAGAGTGCACAGGAGAGCTCCTTGCTTTTTACTACTCCTTTGAGAAATTTAGGGTTTGATGTGGATAGGATTTTATTTCTATTTCTTGTAGTTTTTTTTGTCTTATTAATGTGTCCGCATATATCTTTTTTTCCACTTCTACTAGTAATGTTCCATTTTGTAATTTTTTTACATTTTTTGGTATAATGATATTTGATATTGCTTTTTGTATTTTAAATGGAGAAATTTCTGTTAATGCTTTTTTGCTTATTGCTTCAGTACAATAAATCATGGAAAGTTTTCACTATCATTTTCTGTTTCAGTCGTTATCCACATGTGGTCTCTTGGAAGATTTCTTTTTTCCATTGATTGTTTTTTATTTTTGTTCATCATTCTTGCTCCCTACCCACCCTTGAGTCCAGTATTGGGACATGACAAGGGAAACCCATTCGCCTTGCCATGTAAGGGGCTACGTGAATGATATACTCTCTTTGGGAGGAGTCTTTGAGCAGCGTGTTCCTTTGTTTCCGTTTTCCAAGTATTACGGCTGTGAAGGTTTAGCAAGTGTGTCAGATGTGATGGTATAATCTGGAATGTTCTAGAAATATTGGTTATAGAAGCCTATAACAAAATTCAGACAGCAAATTACCATTAGGAGAAGAAGGGGAATAGGACCCTTCAAACTGCCCAGAAAGACTTTTTAACCAGTTCCAATAAATGTAGTTTTACTGATTTCAATTTTTTTTTTTGTTTTTTGTTTATTTTAAAAATTGAGTTTTAAAGTTTTACAATAAGCATTTGTTTGAGAAATTGACCACTGATTTCTTTTGTATAACAAATTTCAAAATTTTGATGTTGTCAGCCATTTTTAACTTTTTTTTTTAGAGAAATGTAAACAAACTTATTTTTCAGGTTTGAAAATCCCTCTAAAATAAGACATACATTTCTGAAACGTTACTTTCATAAAATTAATCTGTTCTGAAACAAATATCACTAACTTATAGCATAAAATTTTCTAGACAAACATTTCTTAACCTTGGGGTCTTGTTATTTTCATGTCTCCATCGATAATTTGATCGCTGAATGTGTTGACAGGTTTAGTACAGTGCATCAAACGTGACATAATGGGTTTTTTTTTGTTTCTTAAAATAATTTAAAATACTATAAAAATTTCTGACATTATTGAGTTACGTCTATCTCTTTCATTATTTAATAGCTAAGATGATGATAAATAATTTTATTAATTATTAATATTACATTATAAATAAAATAAATAATTATTACATTTTTAATTTAGTAACTGAGATAATAACTAATAAAATTATTATTAATAATTAAAATATCTCATTGAGTCATTAATTGTTTAAAATCTCAATTTAATTTTTAATTTAATAACTGAGAATGAGATAAGACCATTACATGTCAAGGGGCTTTCCCCATGGAGGAGACAAGCCTTAAAACACATGACCTTTTAAGCATAATGTCACTTATGAGATATCATACTAAAAAAAAATATAACATTTTGATGCACAAAAAAAAATATTTTTAATAGTAAATATAGTCATCACTTAAAAACTTAACCTACCCCACACTCTGGAAGAATTTTAAAACTTTTTTTAAAATTAAAGAAAAATTCAAATAATTCTTGTAAAAATTCTTTATTCCGCGAAATTTTTTTTTTTTTTTTCAGATAATAATGTCCTTAATGTATATTATTTATAAAAGCAAATAAAAGCCTATTTAATTTGATAATTAGATAGTTTATTGCAGTTATTTTACAATTTGGAGCAGATTTTTAAAAAGTTGGCAGTTGTGAAAAAAAAATTGATGATTTAATTTCACAAGGAGTCCTGCTTATAAGTAATATAAAACAATTTGTGAACTGTATGAAATTCTAGAAAATTTCATAAAATTAATTTATGGGGGGATAACAGATGTAAAAAAAAAAAAAAAAAGTATTATTACCAAGATTTTTTAAAAATAAAAATTTCAAAAATAAATTCATTCATTTTTTGAATAAGTCCTGAAAGTTTCATTAAAATCAGACAATTATTTGATTTTTGCAAGAATTTCCAAATTAATGGGTTTTCCCCCTGAAACTGCTACACTAAAATGGCTGTAAGTATTACAAAGTTAACAAAAAAAAAAAAAAATTTTGACCCAAATTTAGAACATGTTAGAAAGAAGAAAAAAATTTCAAAAAATAATTTAAAAATACGTTTTTTCCTCTTAATAATAACAAACATTTTAATGATGAAACTTTGTTTTTATTAAGTTTGGGACATTTTATCATCATTATGCTATACTGATTTTTTAGTGAATTATTGGAGTTTTTAGGATGGAATGTGATGCCCCCCCAACCTCCGTTTAGGCTGGTGTTATCTAATAATTATTAATTCCATTGGTATTTTCCTTGTTTTATGATTTAATAGCATTGCATTTATAATAATTTTTCACGTTTGAAGCATGCATCATCACATATACACTGTTAAAATGGGCTTCTGGCCCAATTGCACTCAAGACGGAAAATCTGACATACTTTGAATGGTCATAACTCGGTTGCTAATTGAGCTAGCAAGATAAATTTAGTACCTCTTTTATGTTTCATCAAGCTCTATATACCTAAATGAAAAGTTTTTAGATATATTGAATAAAAAAATACTTAGTAAGAGGCAAGTGAATAGTGTTGCTGAAATTATTATTGGACTGTCAAGATTGATTATGGATGTAACAGCATCTTACTGTTATTACCTGGACAGGTAACATAGTTATAAGACAATAGTTTTCCTAATTAACACTCTTCTCCTTTGTGGCATGACAGTGACAAGACATTCTGTCAAGATACCTGACAATAGGTCAGAATGTCAAGAGAAGTGGATCCATGCCTTTTCCAAGCGTATTAGTACAAAGTGTTCATAAATCAGCCAAGATTTAAACATTTTGATTGTTTTCAGTCCTGACAACTATTAAACCCACCCGACAAATCTTTTTGCTGTGATATACTCATGTTAAAAAGGTGCCAAAACGATAAATGCCTCAAGAGTATATTCACAGTGGATAATGAATGAACAGTCAATTATGTAGATAAATTATTGAAATATTCAAAGTTTTTATGAAACTAAAATTGAATATCCTTAATTCATATAAAATTTCTAGAAATACATTTTATCATGTTTTGAAAATAATGTTTCAGGAAATTATTTAGGAGAGGGTTTAGAATGCAAAGATTTCAATGCACAAATGCCCTTTGAAAAAATACTTATAAAATATATAAAAATAATATTTTTTTTTTAAAAATCAAGAAAACAACTTACTTGCTCCAAATGCTAGGAGCTGCAACTTTTGTAACAAAACAATTCATTTCATTGGCGACAGCATTGATGAGAAAAGTTTTTCCACATCCAGAAGGACCATATAATAAAATGCCTTTAGGAAATGTGAGTCCTGTCAATGGGAAAAAAATAACTCATGAAACATCAGAAGCATTTTCATATTTTAAATCAAAACTAAAATTCATAATTATAAATGAAGAACTAATGTTCATAAAAGGTTAGAAAAAAAATGTGTATTCAAAACTTATATAGTATCAAATAACATTTTAATTTAAGATTTGTAGATCTGAACATGACATACTGAAAGGCATTTTTTCTTTTCACAGGTTTTTAAAATTATAAAATTTCTTATATAAAACACTGATTGACACTTATGTCTGACAATATCACCTGCAATATAAACTACTTGGTTATATCTAGTTAAGATGAAAGCTGGCTATTCTGTGCAGATGTGAAGAAATGGCAGCAGCTATTTGTGCTGAATTTTGAAAACCCAAATTCATAGCCACCTTGTAAATTCTAAAAATAGATCATAAAGCCAATTTTATGGATAAATATTCTATTTATGTTTAATAGGTCTTCATAATTACTATCATTTTATCAAGAGCATTGCTTTTTATCATGAAAGTGTTCAGGTGATTAAAGTTGATTTAAATATATGATTAAATTTTGGATTGCATGCATTAATGGGTAGAACACATCCATATACATACTATCTTAATGGAACCTTTGGTTAACAAAGTGTGACCCCTTTGAAGTCATTCCTTTTACATTTAAATGAAATATACCTCTGTAGTGAACTACTGCAGAGGGAAAAAAGGCCCAGGGTTTGCATGTATTTTTTGCAATGCTAGAATAAAATAACTTACCTCTAGCACAAGCAAAGATTCAAACATGCCATGTGGTGTAAACTGTCCAACAGAGAAAGAAATGGTGGCTTCATGGGTCACATATTTAAAATAGTTAGATCTCAGAGTAAGATACTCTCTCACAAGATTATCTTTGTATATATGCAAATTTTAGCTGTCAATGATACATAAAAACAGGAAGAATGAGGCGACAAGGGAGCAAGGGAAAAAAGACAGTTGACTGATGTATTGAACTGGTTACAAGTGTTGCGGACAAGAGAGAAGAAATTGATTGCTACATTAAGTTTAAAGCTATTTTGACAATTCTGAATTTTTCTATGAGATGGCAGAAAAAGCGTTTGATATCAGATTGATCCATGAATTTAGTGGCATTGCCACCAATTTACTAATCATGGAGTGGCACGAGAATGTTGAGTTAGTATGACATGAGTACATGAGGAGGATCAAGTACATCCTGCCGTTACGATTGAGAAGTGGGGTGCTCCTTGTATACCAGCAACTAAGTAAGGATCAGAGGCCATTTCATGACAAGACGATTTCATATTGGGGAACTGTTGATAAATTTTTGGCAGAGCTACAGCTCTTGGCTGGTTGGCAGACAGTTGATTGAGTGATAGATGGTATGTGCATTCATGTCTGGCTTCTCTCAGGACGTTAGATGGCTTCTTAATGCATCATCCAGAATAGAGACTATGACGGAGCAACTTCTAACCAGGACAAGGACTACTATGACAGATAACCAAAAACCTGAAGAGTCAGTTGTCACATCCATTCAGCGAACATGTGCAAGGATGGCATCATTTTTTTTAAGTGCTCTGATTCCAACCACTTTGCTAAGGACTGTAAACAAAGTCGCCTGGAGGGAACTGGGTGCGCAGATCGTGACATGACATGACATGAAATGTGTTGCTTTCATTGCAACATCACACATCTGAGTGCCAGGGAAATGGTTCAGGGGAGGAAATGTCAATGTCAGTCACCTCCTCAAAAAAGTAAAGAACAATGCACTACCAGTCATCTAAGTGCTCGTAGATGAACAGAATTGCATAGCCCTTGTAGACTCTGGCTGCTCCCAGACACTAGTGAGCAGATCAATATGCCACCTTCGGCAACACTGAGAGATGAAGGTGCTGATAGCCAATGGGAAAATCACTGAAGTGTCATGGGCATGGCACAGTCAAAATGGATATTGGCCATGCTCGACCCGTGAACATTGAAGTCCTAGTTGTGGATGGAACATTGCTAGGATTTGATCTGCTTTTGGGGACTGATGCAATCTGAGAGTATGAAGAAATGTGCATCACTAAATCAGGAGAATTTTGCTTCCCCAGGGAGATATACCCCAGTGTACAGCCATTTCCATCAATGAACCTGACTTTAGTGTGCAATTTGACCACCAGAAGAAGGTTTGGACTGCCTCGTGAAAATGGGCCAGTGGTCAAACACCCATAAGCATGAAAAACAGTGTGCTGGAGTACACCGTGCCTGACACTGTCCAGGATGAATACAACAAAGAACTGCAGATGTGGCGAGACAATGAATGGCTGCTGCTATATCCTGAAAGTGAGCTCAGTCCACCCAAGGGCCTGATTCCATTAATAGCAGTGATTCAGGAAAACAAATAGAAGGTTCGGTTAGTGCTTGATTACATGGAATTGAATGATTTTGTGGTAATGTTCACTGTTGACGCAGATGTGTACGCCCAGAAGTTGAGAGAATGGCGATGACAGGGAGTGAACATATCCATTACGCGATTGGGATTTGGCCATGGTGTCCCTCTATTAGAGGCCAACTCATAATGAACAGGACAGAAAGAACTGGAGGCCAGTTTTGAATATTGGGTATTTTAGTTTGAGTTTGAGCTAGCTATGCCAGTGTTATTGGCTTTGAATTTAAAGTTTAAATTCAAAGAAATTTGTCCTTACATTTGGAATATCATTTACCTTATTTAATTGAAGTAAGTATAAGATTTATTTATTTTATTTTGAATTGCTGTATTATTTTTATGTAGATTGTAAAAACAAATGTTTGCGGATCTGTAATTTACTATGCAAAAAATACTTGGTCTTCTTGTTACTTTGAATTATAAAATTAAAGTTCATTAAATATTTTCCCCTTTAAGTTTGTTTAACATTTTTCACTTAAAGTTTATTAAGATTCTTCTCAAAAAAAAAAAAAAAAACCCTTCACTTCTTCCACGAGATTTAAATTTTCCAGTCTTTTTTTTTGTTGCACGCTTCCGTTTTCACTGCAAAATTTATTTATGCAAGATTAAAAATGCCATTATTTGTCAATGGTCACAAAGTTATTTTAGTATTTTTCTTTATTCATTAATAAAATCTAATTCTTTTATGAGTAATTTGTTTTTTTTTAAAACATTTTTAAACTATTTTAGTTTTTAGTTTAACTATTAACGTAGAAACAAATTTAATATTTTTGTATTACAAAAATAAAATGAATGAAAAAACATTTAAGAATGTTTTTACATAAATTTAATGATATATAATTATAATTAAATTCTAAATATTTAATTCAATATTTATTTTTGATATTGTAAAAATGATGTGAGTGTGAACAAAATTAATCTTGCTGCTCAGTCATTTTTTCAGGGTCTTCTAACTAAAGTTTTTAAAAAGTATGGTAAAAAAAGTTAGCTTAGTCACTGACTCAACATTTTTCTGTTAAAAGTTTATTCAATATTCTTGAAAAAAAAAAGCAAACCGATGCTCTTCAAAACACAAATTCTCTTTTTTATGCCTTGTATATTGTTTTTAAGAGTTAAAAGTATGATTCTTTTATTAACACATTTTCTTTTTGTTATTGATTGAGTGAACTGTAATGATTATTAAAATTAAAACTGACGGTGATACAGAGCTCAACCTCTGATATCTTTCACTGTTTTTGTGAGAAAACTCAATACATGATCTAATATTAAAATGTTGGAACATAAGTTATGTTAATGAATTATACAGTGAAAATGCTTGAATGTTGAATCTGGATATATGTTTTCTATTTTTGTATCTAACTTGGCAGCAACACCATTATGTCTCCCAACCATATTGGCAGCACCATCAGTAGATAACCACACAAGTTTACTCAAATCAAGGCCATACTCATGAAGAAGCTGTTCAACTTTCTCAAAAATGTCCTGGCTTGTAGTATCAAGCATTGGGACCAGTTCAATTAGTTCTTCATAAATTTAAAATTCATTGTTGTAAGCCTTGATGAAAATGGCGAGCTGCACTATTCCAGCTATATCAACAGTCTCATACAGAGCAATAGAAAAATATTCAAAACTTTATGAAAAACTCTTCAACTGTCGACTCAAAAAACCTGCCATTTCAATTTCATCAATCTGTTCAGCAACAGTGTTCCTGCTTAATGAAATGTCTTGAAATAAGTGTTTTGAACCATGCAAAATCAACCAGCATCAAATCAAAACTTATCAAGGCACAAGTCCAATGGACTGACCACATCATCTATATGGAGCAGCATTTCATTCTCAAACATTTGTTTGGAGAGCTGCTATGTGGCAGGAGACATCAAGGCTGACCAAAGATCAAACCAAAAGGAGCTAGCAGTATGTACTGCGAACTAATCTCTGCAAACTTTGAAGAAGCCTGACATTAAAAAATTAACATTCAAAGAGGACAGTGCCAACATACATCTTTGGCATTGGTCACAACCACCAACTTCAAGTATCCAAACACTGGGCAGCCCGAATTAGTTTTTGGAGCCACCTCTGGATCCACTGATGAATTGCAAGACAAAGTCTTCTTCAGAATACATTATAAAATATTTGTTTCAATTGTTACCTTGAAATAAAAACTGTGAAATGAAAATGAAATGAGAAAAAGAAAACTCACCATAAGAAGCAAAAACTTGAGGAGACATCAAAGGTAACTGGATTATCTCTTTTAAGGCATCAATCTGTTTTTTCAGACCACCAACAGATTCAAAGGTCACAGTAAAGTCTTTCGAATTTTTGTTTTTGAATTTTTCTTCTTCAGAATTCACATAAATTTTAGTTTGAGAAGTGACTTTGTAAAATGTTTTTTCATAAAAAGGCAATTTGGATCTGTGATTATCATGGGTAGGAGTTTGGAATCCTTGAATATCTGCTAGGGACACTTTCACTGGGGTGGATGATCCCAAAGGAGAGTCAACATTTTTATTCAGATATAACAAAGAATTATTTGATAAAAAAGAGTTATTTACATGGCATTTTGTTATTGGTGTTGCAGATGATGCGTCATTTGCCTCATCTTTTGTCAAACTGACATCCAAATTTTGTTTTTCTTCAAATGACTCTGCTTCTAAACATAAAGAATCACCTTCCTTTGATTTAAGTACAGATACAGAATATTTTTGTTGCCTGTCAATTGCTGTAGATGTTCCAGTGATCTTTATTTCTTCAAACATTTCTGATAAAGAATTTTCAAAATTAGAGTCACTTGGAGTGGTCAATTCTATTTTATCTGCGAAGCCTTGTATTTCAGAAACAGTGAAAGAACAATGTTGTCCAAAATAATGAAAGGTGTAATGATTACTTTTGGCAAAATATTTTCCATCTGAAGTTGAGAAAAGAAAAACATGAAAAGAGAAGAATACATTTTAGATTGAAAAAAATGGGAAAAATAAAACTAATGCTATAAAATAGAAAAACAATGCTAAATATAATCAAGTTGATTTTTTGAGGACAATTTTTTTCCTAAACAGGAAAATGCTGTATTATTAAGTTGAAATCCAAAGTTTAGTTTATAATTTCTGAACCAACAGTAAAGGGTCAGGAAACCAATAACTAAATCAACTTTTATATATATATATATATATATATATATATATATATATATATATATATATATATATATAATAACAAACACTTAAAAACCATAGGTAATATTTTCTTTTCATTGAAGCTGATAAAACATGGCTTCAAATCCTCGGACCTATAAACCAAATAAAAAAATGGAAAATTTAACTTTAGGTTTAAAATAATGAGAATAGTGACTTCATATTCGGTTGTCATATTGGATTATAACTGGAATTAAGACATATGAAATTATTCTGTTTGTGAATATATATATATATATATATATATATATATATATATATATATATATATATATATATATATATATATAAAAACTAGGTAATCTGTATGGTAAAACCCAAGGAGGATAAAATCCAGAGAGCTCAATGTAAATCCAAAGCAAATAATTTAAATAAAAACAGACCACTTTAAGGTTCCATGTAATAAATTATTTCACCACAGCCCTTTTAAAGGACTGCAGATCATCAGACTTTATTTCCAAAGATTAAAACAAAAAATGAAAAGAAATTTACAAATTTTTGACGGGCCGTATTAAGTATGTGGGAAGTGAGGGGGGAGAGAGAAGACATGAGTGAGTTAGATGTAATTTAAAATTTCTATTCTTTTATACTTAAAATTACTTGAGGAGGTCCAGACATTGACACATTTAAACGGTCAACTTAACGGAAGTTATATATTGATATCAAAGGGGTAGAGGAAGAAAAAAACCCATAAAAAGAAAAAGAGAAAAGGAAGTCATGAGAGAAGATGTCACTAATTTTCTTTGGAAAAAAAAATGACTAGAAAAAGATGCTGTCATTTTGTTTTACTTTGAAATTGTTATTTTGGGGGTTCATAAATATTTTAATGTTTGATATAAATTTGAATGTCTAAACTGTCTACAAAGAATTTAATTTGATGTTTGTTAGTGATTTAAATTTTTTTTAAATTTTGGGGATTTTCTATGAAATAGTCGATTAGAAAAATATTCATAGAAAAGTACATGAAAAGAATAAAATTTTTTTTAAAATATAAGTTTACTTCTAGTAGTAATCTTTTTTAATCTTTTAAAAATTTTTTTTTATTATTCATTATTAAGTTGACATCTCTATCCATTTGAATTTTGTTCATGAATTTAACTCGTGACTGTTTCTAGATAGGTAATCTCTCTTACTTAAATTTTAGTTATTTTAATATGGGGTATATATTATTTTTGAAGGTAATTTTAAAGAATCTTGATTCTGTCATATACTGTTTACCCATACATACACCCAAACAAAAAATATATATATATATATATATATATATATATATATATATATATATATATATATGGATGTATTTAGGTTTAGAATTTGTATGGGTATAACTATTATTTTTTAAGGTGTAATGTATTTTATATTATGGTATTCTATGTATATATATGAATATAAAATTTTGTATATATATATATATATATATATATATATAAATAAGGAAACAAGAAAAAGAAAATAGAGAATTTTTAAGACCACATTTGATAAAAACTCAGTCCTTAACTTTTACATATACTTACATTAGCCAAAAAACAAACTTCCATTCTTAGATTTGTCATGGTTTAAATACAGCAATAACACTTTCATTACATCATTATACAAAAAAACCCACCAGCAAAAACATTTTATTTTAACTATAAAAAGTGAATTAAATTTTACACAACCACATGTTTATCCAGACGTCTTTTTTTCACACCTATCTGATCACAGCTCCATTAGAACCCATTTAAAAACACACACAAAGATTTACCAGATTCCATTAGGAACATACTAGTAGAAAAAACAAATATATTAACTGCATCCACCTGCAGAAAAGAATAAAAATAATGGAATCTTTAATAATAAAAAAAAAAAAGCCAACTCTTAACAATATTAACTATGAACAAAGCCACAATTTGCTGTTGTGTTCTGAAATTAAAAACATCCCTACCATTTTGTTAATACATACACAGAGAACACACACTCAATTAAGCTGAAAAATCGAATCATCCTTGATAATGCCTAAAAAGGTATAGCTGAAAGCAATTGGAAAAATAAAACATTTGGACAGTTCTTACACACCCTTTGTGGATAAAAAGTTTTTCTCTTTCAGAACACAAGAAAAATTAAATAAAAAAGCTTATTATGTAGTACCTTGTCTGTAATTTTTTAATGAAACATGCATAAAGGAAAAAATTACATATATATATATATATATATATATATATATATATATATATATATATATAGATATATAACCGCTTTTTAGACTAGGACAGGTTGTTGCATTACTTGATAGATTTGTATATAACAAATATTTTGGGTTATTTGTAGATGGTTTTGATCTGTATATTTTGTATTTATTTATTGTATATATACATATGTGTAGATACAGTGATATACATGCATAATGCTCATATTTTGTATTGATGTTAACCATGTACATTTTGTATGTATTATCTGTTTGCACTTTTACAAATGTGTTATTTCCACAGTGACATCATTAATACAATGTATATATCAAGAATAGAGAGTGCTTAAATATATATTTGACCAATTTGGGTACTACATGTTAATTTATATGAAAATTTCTCATATAGATAGATATACGGATATTTAGTAAACTTAAATCTGTGAACTTTTAACCTTAGTAGAAAATATATTAGATAATTCTGATCTGATTGACTTTATTTTTTTTTTTTTAAATAAAAATCTTTTTTTAAAAATCTCTTCATATCCCGTTAAACTCTGTTAAGTTTATTAAATTATAACAGTTTGGGACTATTGTTTTATACACTTTATATAATATATGTAATTGTTTCTTTACCTAAATAGATTTTATTCTGTATACCATAGTATTTTTATTATTTATTTATGGAGAATTTCATGGATAATTATATTTTAAAAAACATAAAAAAACACACACAAAATAAAATGAAATACTCCTTTATATATATATATAGCAGCATTTATAAATATGATTGATTAAAAAAAAAAAAAGACTCAACTTACATTGTATTATCACTTGATAGAAAAAATATTTTTTTCCTTCCTTGCCTTTAAAAGTGCCCTTTGCCATGCTGATGTTGCTACATGCCTTACTTCTTGCCTATCTCACACTGTGAATATTTTCTAAGTTCTATACTAAACAAAAAAAAAAAAAAAACTAAACAAAATGAACACAAAATGATCAATTTGAAAAAAAAAAGGACTCATAACTGGAAGAACCAAATGAAAAAATGTTTTTAACAAATACTTTTTTCACACCCAACCCAGTTCTGCAGAATCAAAATCAACGTTGAGTTTAAGCATTAACCGAATGAACCAATAAATTTTAAAAGTAAAAGTGCCAACAAAGATTTAAATTTTCCCCACTTGTGACAAATACACATGTCAATTTTTTTTTTTGCATGCTAGTTAACATTCATGTCAGTCACAATTGTTGGCTCTCATGCTGGCTAATAGAATCTTCCTGCCTCATAATTCGTGGCAGCCAGCTATAGGATTTCACTTTGGGCCAGTAAAAATGGCCAAAAAAACATAAAAAAAACTGCCGTAGAAGCATGAAAAATCAATATTTTTCCACTATCGATAGGAGTTGGGAAATTTAAAAGTCAGTCTTAATCTAAAGTTTACTGTAACATTGGAGCATGTGCATGTAAATTTTCAAAATAAATTTAAAATAATTCATCAAATTAAAATAAATATGCATTTTTTTAAATATATATATATTTTATATATATATATATATATATTATATTGAGCACTTTTTCATTATTTTAGCTGTTAGTAGGTTATTTTTACCTTTGATTGTGGTAGATGCTATTTTCATTAAATACAATTATTTTATTACCTTTTTTGTCAGTACCCTAATTATTTTATATTCAATGTTTTTTTTTTGGGGGTTAAGCATCAAAACCCCAAAAAGTCCAAGTTCCATTATCAACAGGGGGTTATGAAAATAAAAATGAGAGAAAAAATTTGGGTGTAGGAGGGATTGAAGAAAGGAAAAAAGAAAAGGTATCAAGCAACAAAACATGGTGACTGAGGTTGCATTTAGGTTTTGGATGATTGTATTTATCAGGGAAGCAAGTGAGAGGAATGGATTCCAATATGGAGAAATCGATATAAAGAAACTGTTAGAAGGGCGGTTACATTTAACTATTTCAACAGTAAAAAGTTGGGACCTAGATGCCAATCTAGTAGTACACTTAAATTCATGTAGTCAGGGCACCAGGGAAAAAATGCTCATCAGTGCAGTAGCCATGAAAAAGAAAAGAAAAGACAGAGGGAAGCCACATCACGTCTGTGAGAAAGAACTTTTTGAAGTCAAGAAGCTAATTCAGTACCGATTACATTACAGATCCCTTTTTAGATTTTTTTTGAGAATATTGCAACAAAGGGAAGGTAAGGGAAAAATTTTATGGATAAAACTTTAACTGCCAGTAATAAAAAATCACAGAAATGCAATCTATGTTGTTATTCATTTAAACATCATCATCATTTAATAGTAAAAAAAAAATATTTTATATAATAATAATCAAAAAAAAAAGTAAAAAAAATTAACTATAATGTAAATATATCCATGAAATATATAAATGATTATATACAACTATAAATATATATATGTATGTAAAACACACATAAAAAAAAAAAAATATATATATATATATATATATATATATATATATATATATATATATATATATAGATAGATTTATAGATAGATAGATAGATAGATAAA